CGGCTGGACGCGGCTGGACAAGGTTAGAAACGAGGATGTCAGAGCGGTCATGCAGACTGCCCCTGTCCAGCTGAAGGTACGGGAACAGCGTCTGCGATGGTATGGGCATGTGCTAAGGAGGCCACAGGACCATCCGATAAGAACAGCGATGGACTTCGAAGTGCAAGGCAAGCGACCGCGAGGAGCCCCAAAGAAGAGGTGGAAAGACGTAATCAAGAAGGACCTAAGTGAAGGTCACGGCCACGATGGAAGATGCCCTGGACAGAGCAAAGTGGCGACGACTGACAAAGACAGCGGACCCTGCGACTGCGCGGGACTAACGCTAGGGAGAAGAAGAAGAAGAAGTCTTAGCGTATCGAGAATAAGGAACAACCATGAGATTGGTGCGAAGGTTTCCGGTCTAGCACAGCATGAAATATGCCTTCACTGGTGGTCCCTAATCGTTTTGCTTGCTTTTATGACTACCAATCCCCTTTCATTTTCGGGTTCGATTGCAGGAGAAGGTTAATGTGCCTTTGAAAACTCGTTTGTCTGTTGCTTCAATGTAACGTTTCCTCCTGTGAATAGGTACAGTCGATATCCAAGTTGGGGTAGGCGTGTCACCGGAAGTGACGTGCACTTGATAGAAGTTGCGTGGATAAGCTGTTGCCAGCATGCTTTGCTGATATCCAGCGATGTATGTTGGAAGCAGCTTATCCACATAGCTTCTATCAAGTGCACGTCACTTCCGGTGACACGCCTACCCCAACTCTCGGATATCGAGTATAAATGATCGTAAGGTCCGCGGCCGCATTGTCAGGGAATCTGTCGCGGTCCCAGTGCAGTGTCGACGACGTCATTGAAGGAAGGAAGTTGGGAGGCGATTACAACTTCACCCTCAGTCGCTGAGGGATTTGATATACTATTGACGCCCACTGATGCACCAATGCAGCTCCTCCAGCCACTGTGTTCACTGCCTTTGAATTCAAGCCCTAGTGTTGGCAAATTTTTCGGCCAGTTATATCGTCTAAGGGTTACTTTCACAATTTTGAGAAAATTCAAATGTATAGCGGAACTTGAAACCTTTTCAGCAACCCTTTCACAGCTTCCAGCCAGCATGGAAGTCCAAACGTCAGATACGATGCACTTTCGAGCTTTCCGCCAATCTTTTGAAGTATTTCACTTATACAAGCGTAACACGATTACGATGATTCGGGCGGCCATTGGCATGCTCAAGCTCACCCCTGTTCCTTGATTCAGTGTTGGCTTTAGAAACCTGCCTTTTTCTTTTCGTGGTTGCAGGTCGGTGCACCGATCACGCTTATCACCATTACGCTAGCTAGGTTTTGCTCCCATAGTTCCCTGCTAAATACCTATCCTCCGAGTTCCGTCCACGACAAACCGAAGCTCGCTACGACGCCGTCAAGTTCAGAACTTAGTAGATATCTCTGTTCGACTGCTAAGCATTTTTTGAGCGAACTTGGCGAGAATTTCCACGATTGCAACGCCCAATGCGCACACTTAGCCTTACAGCTTTCTAATTAAAAGTGAAGAGCTTTCACAAAATTGTGAACATCCTTCTGAGCACTCCTTCACTGTCTTTACAAACACACATGCGTTTCAAAATCATTCGGTACAGAGAATGGTTCACGGGTTTACGTGTCTATACTGATAGGTAAATGTGGCCGCACGACGAATGCTGTACGAGACGACCGGTGTTGGATTGATGCGACTCGGTAAAATCTGCTTGAGATCTGCTGGACAGCAGTATCTGTAAGAAATACAGGTACATAACAGGTCATGGGCAATTTGATGACTAAATTTCAGGCAGCTAAGCGGGATCAACCGTCCGTTGGCGTTATTGAAAATATTTTACTGACGCCCCTTCCCTTTCTTGGCCTCGTCTTCGATACCCCGACCACCCCCCCCCCACATTTGCTTATGTAATAACGTAACTTGTATTCGCTCCTCTTGCGTACTACTTCGAACTACTATTTCGAGCGTTACACCAGACTGAGCATAGTAGATCGCGTTTGCATTGGCGCGCACAAGTCTTCGCCTCGGCCCAGCGCGGATAGACCAAGGCAGAGACCAAATTTTCGAATGGGTTAATTCTGTTCAAGCCTCAATATTTTTCAAAACGCCAAGCAGATTTGTAATCTGCGAAGACTGCTAGTTTCAGAAGACTACCACCATGAAAGCTGCTTTCTAGAGCTTCTTTTGTTATTGTAGAGAACTTACACGCAATTTTCAAGGAGCCGCTCCTATTTAAAAGGTGTAACTTTTTTTCCCAATGCAAAAATGCCGAGTAGTGTAAGAATTTGGAAGTTAGAATTCGTTTCCATCTACAAAAGTTCCTTTTGCAAAGTTTTTAATTTCTTTCCGACCAATTTCGACCCGTTGGACCATTTTTTGTGCACAACCGGGTTTTTTGGCTTTCAATGACTATAACTTTCTTCAAAGCCACCTTTTGCAATTATTGTCCCCCTGGGATAAACTAGAAGGTTAGAGCTTTCCAACGAATACTTGAACTCTTTTCAAAACTGATGGAGTCAAAAAATCGCCCCGTTGGACCGTTTTGGGAAATCGCGGACCGATTTTTGGCAGAGCGCTGGTTTTTTGGCTTTGAACTGTTATAACTTTCTTCAGATTCAACTTTTTGCAGTTCTTGTCCCCCTGGAAGAAACTAGAAGGTTAGAGCTTTCCAATGAATACTTGACTAGTTTCCAAAATGACCCTTCAAAAAATCGTCCCGTTGGACCGTTTTTTTTGAATTTTCGGAGCTACTCTCCTGAAAACACGAGTTTTCAACACTCAAACACTGACAGCTCTCTTCAAACTCAATTTTATGGGGAAGTAATGATACCATGACATCGCACAAGCTTTGTGCTTCATAACAGATACTGAACTCTTTCTAGGAAGTCGCCGACAGGCAAATTTTTTCTCCAAACTTTTCTTGTAAGCCTTTAGCAGTCAATCTACCCAAGTGGTCACCCTTTTACTAACATAGGTTCAGTTTGAAGACATTGGTTCTCTTCAGAAGCATATTTGTGTACGTGAACAGTCACATATGGACACTACTGCAGTGGACTCTTCTGCTCTGAGGTGCGCCATGCACTCGTTTGTGGTTAGTAGTTGGAGAAGCGCTCGAAAGTTATGCCTCTCACCTACGTATTGCGACGTTGATAATTGCAAATACGACCCCCCCTCCTCTCGGTCGGCCGAATACGACCCCCTCGTTGGACTTTGTCCAACAGACGGTTAATCCTGCAGCTAAGACATCATAATACATAATTACCTAACTTCAAGAGTAATTGAAATATGTGAATCTTCAGGTACTCTATTGATTACGCGAAAAGAAAGAAACCATAAAAACTGTCAAATTTCTTAGCTGAGGAACTACGCTGGAATAAAAACCAGAATCCAATCCAACGAAATGACCAGACAAATTTGGTGTACATAGTCGATTCCGCGAGTCTTTCTCAGAATTGACTGACATTTCTTTCCGTGACCACGGGTGCGTGTCTTATCTAGCAGAGCCAAGGCAGTGGCAAACAAAGCCTCAAGGTGAATACCATCTCCCGCTGATGGTCTAAGGGCAAGCCCCAAGATTAGCTCGACTACTAAAAAGGATATGATGAGATTTGTAGGGTCCGTACTTATAGATTCGCTTAGCGGCCCCCTGAAGGCCAAAAAATGGTCGAAAAAATTCGTTAAGAAGGGGTGGTTTTTGCTGCCTTGGAGTGAAGTTTCGGACCTGTACAAACGACCACCTGCATTTTGAAGGGCGCCGATGAAGATAATATCGAAAACAACTCGAAATTCGCTCAAAATTGAAGCACTGTACGTGGTACTGCTGAAGAAAGTGTAGAGGTTTCATAGGCGTCGTCGGCACCCTACACATCGCAGCGAGCAGGTGGCCGAGTGGGATAGCGTGGTGGACTGGGGTTGGCATGACTTTGTGGATCGAGTCCGCAGGTTTTGCATTTTTGATAATCACCTCCAAATTGGCGCCAAATTGCTTCAGCGTCAAAATTAACGCTATATTCTCATTCAGGACCGTCAGTAGCCCTTGCAAATGGGTTTTCTACCAAAAATTGGAAGAAAAAGTTCGCAGCGCCAAACTGGCGCCAAATGGCGCCGACGTCAAAAACGAACGCCATAATCGTGTACAGGACCCTGATCTACCCCCACATGCCAAATTTCAGGAAAAATCGAGGTTTTGACCTAACTTCGAAAAAGAGGGTGGCCATGGGCTACAGGTCGTCATGCACACCAGGGGGCGACTTGAATACCAGTGCGGCGCCGAAATCAAGCGCAATGCCTTGTCGGCTCACGGGAACTAAAGTTTGGCTCATAGGGAACATCTTCCATCATGTCGCAGTCCTTGAAATCGCTCCATCTATGGACACGCAGCCTTGCGAGTGGAGGAGCCGTGGACCCAATTACCACGTCTTGATGAAGGGGAGAATCTGCCGACTTCAAAATCATGGTGCCCTGTTGCCCATTACCAGCCTGGGTGTCTCCCATTGTCCATTTAGCAGTGATACTTCTCGTTATTTGAGAAGGATAACTGGGAACTCGTTTCCAGTGCACCGGCTGGAGGCAACTATGGGCTACTCTATCACTGGCCAATTTTTCGGATCCAGGTCAAATTCTCAATTTTCTCAAGAACTTCTGATTTAGGGAATATCGAGTGCCCTGATCACGAATATGACATTAATTTTATCCGATAGCTTCAATTTACGCTAGTTTGGCGCCGTTTGGCGCCTTTCTGGCGCTACAACTTTTTTCCACAGATTCTGGAAAAAGTTTGACTGCATTTCTTGCTCATGGTCTTAATGATGAGTACGATACCTAGTACTGGTGCTGGCGCTATTTTAAGCAAATTTCGAAGCTCCAACTAAATGCAAAAATTTGTCATCAAGAGGGATTGAACCTTGGACCATTTCCCTACCTTTTTTGGCCTTCAGAGGGCCGCTCAGCGAAAATGAAACATAGTTTTGTAGTCCCCGTGAGAGCCCCTACATCATGCAAAAAACCGTTTTCAAAAAGCGCTCCACACCCTGAACGACCTCCCTTGTCAGAGCATTACCATTAGTTACCTTGCATTCGTCAGGTGTTTATCGGTGTCGATCTTCGGCTCAATAGCGTGTATCCAACAGCCGCGCACACAGTTCACTCCCTTTAGTTCTGTCACGCGGATCTGAGCTATTTTACCGGCTGGAGCCTAGAAATATTTTATATTTGTACTGAGATTTTCAATTACAAATAATGTACGTGACAGAATGCGGCTGTAAGCTAACCCTAATCCAATCAGTGCACATTTTGTAAGCATTGCTATTTGTTGTTATCGCGGGGTCACCAACTGTGACCTTTCTCGTGGTCCACGTAGCAGTAGTCGCCAGTGTTGCTCCACAGGCAGGTGGCTGGAAATAAACTGTACCTGCTACGTTGCTCTATGGGGCTGCATTTATTGTGTACTTCATTGTATAGTAACTTACACGCACGTTGCACAAGGCTCCACCATAACCAGCTGGGCAAACGCAGGCGGTGGAGCAGTGTCTTGGATTCGAAAGACCGCCATTCACACATTTTGCTTCTTTTCCTTGGCAAGCAGCTATAGCAAAAAATGTTAGATAATGATTTCCCAATAGTGCCATGCATTTCGTCGTTACCGATCAAAACTTTAAAAGCTGATTCTTAAAAGAAAAATGCTTTTTCTTCACGCCCTCAAATTCCAAGAGCATACCGTAACATTGATAAAACACATTGATCATGTGTATGTCATAGAATGAGATTGTTTTCGCACCCATCGTGCGAAGATATCTTTTTTGGTAGAGTGGCATGAGTGAATCTCCAGTTGTAGCAAATCTGGAAAGCTGGACCCCATGAGCCGAAATATAATATTGGTGAAAATTGGAGAAAATTGCTTTGGAGCTCTAACCAGGAAGGTCTTTCAGGGCGTGACAAGCTTTTTGAAAACGGTCTTTTGCATGATATAGGGGCACATGCGGGAACCACAGAACCATGGTTAATTTTTCCTGAACGGCCCTCTGAATACCAGAAAAGGGGGTCCCTAGTTCGATTCCCTCGTGTGACAAATTTTTGCATTTCGAGTTGACGTTCCAAAATTCGCGCAAAATGGAGTTAGCATGAATAATGAGGTGTGACAAGACAGTGGGGCTGCTAGGTGCCACACTTCACACCAATTTTCAAGTCAGTCTTTTGTAAGGGTTACTGACGGTCCTAATCATGAATATGGTACTAATTATTCATGCTAACTCCATTTTGCGCGAATTTTGGAACGTCAACTCGAAATGCAAAAATTTGTCACCACGAGGAATCGAACTAGGGACCCCCTTTTCTGGTATTCAGAGGGCCGTTCAGGAAAAATTGAACCATGGTTCTGTGGTTCCCGCATGTGCCCCTATATCATGCAAAAGACCGTTTTCAAAAAGCTTGGCACGCCCTGAAAGACCTTCCTGGTAAGAAAAAAAGCTTTGGCGAACTTCCGCATCAGATATTATTCAGCAGTAAAATGGCACTGTTTTAATGAAGGACAGACTCCTAAAAAAGGATCCACTTTTCGAGAACAACTGTGACTAAGGTAAGGCATAGGGATCGATCTCGTTTTGAAATCGAGACTGTAAATATTTGTAATTTCTACATGATCAGGGCTCTGAATAGAAGGCAAAGAGAAGGCGCCAGGCCGAGATTCAAAGTCCGGTGAAATATCACCAGTGCTACATACGGACGTGCAATGTCATGTAGCAAGAGGAAAGGAGCTTCTTTGCGTGTCTTTTGGTGTTGATTAGAACACTCCTGTTTCTGATATTATTCTAGGTTCGATACAGTACCCTAATTTTCGGTAGATAAGCCGCGCTAGTAATCCTTCTATTTTATAAAGCGCTAACTTTGTGTGTCGGTTTGTATGTCTGTATGTGTGTATGTATGTATGTATGTGTGTCCGTCCGCAAAATGAAGTGAGTGAGAAGGAAGCTCATGGGATAAACAAACCGCTAACAAATCGGGTAGCTTACAGGATTTGAGATATCAATGTTTTGTAGCAGGATAGTTGTGATAACACTCTTAGGGCTATATAAACACCTGCTTAGCACACTTCCGTTCATTCCACATGGTGCTGCAGTGGCAGCTGGAGGGCAGTGGAGAGA